CTGTCTCCCCGCTGCTCCCTCAGTCTTTCTTTATCCTCCCCCAGGATAAGTGTAATCTATGCTTATGAGCTGATATGCAAGATATCTTTCTCTTTCTCTCTCTTAATGGGCTTATAAAGACTTCTGTCCACAAAGTTTTAACGACATTTTGCTGCTCTTTAAACATCTCAGTTAATCCAGTTTTCTCCTTTGAATTTGGATGACTCTCTCTACATGTTCTCTTGTGGTTTCTCAATGCAACCCACCTTGTCATCGATGAGGTACATGGTCTGTATGAATCAGTTTTCATTTTCTCAAAATTTGTCTTTTTATGAGCACACATTGAGGTTGGTCTTCCTGCACTTTTGGTTTCTCTGTATCTGAAACCACTGGCGGTAGTGAGTGGCAAATATGTTCTTGTTTGGGGGATTTTTCTGGAAAAGGGAGAAGTTACAGAGATTGAACCTAAAGCTGCTGCGTCATGGAGGTCAACGCACAAAGAGTGAACCTATGAGTATGACTCCTCTAACAATATGTGAGCACATCTGGCTGCATTTGCTATGACTCAATGAATGACTCAAAGCCAGTGTGTTTGTGCATAGCTGCACAACAATATTCCAGAAACATCCATAGGTCATGAAAATGTTGGCAGTTGACAGATGTGTTCAGGAAAGACGCACTTTAGCTTTAGCACTTCCGGTTTCGTTGTCCTGAAGTCAATGGGTTTTTTTAATAGGTTTTTGGTTAAATGCTGGAAATAAGGTCGTTAACGCAAGCTCAAGATATTTTCACATTTTATTCTACGATATGAAATACATCACTGACATCACCCTTTTGGGATTTTTAAAAAGCTTTTCTTGAAAAAAAGCTTTACTTTTCTTGAAATAAGCGGTAGCTAAGAAGTGGCTAAATGGTACTACAGAGGTTGTGTTTTTATAATCACGCTCTTGCAAACTATTATAACTATCGAACTTTCAGGAAAAATGTTTTTAAACAAAGACTAAAAGAGTTTAGTTAGTCGGAAGCTTAGTGATGGTGATGTTGAAGTTTGTTTGACTTCTGCCGTTTATGCTCCAAAATTCATAAAAAAATTGTGTTAATTTGTGAAGATTATCACGATGAACAAAACATGTAAGAATCATAAGCTTTTGTTAGTCACAGACCTTATTTTCTGCAATAATCCAAAAGCCAATGGAAAAATCCTATTGGATCCTATTGGATTTTTGTCTAGAGAGCCAGTGTAATGCAAACCTCCGGACTGGCCTACAAAAATACATAATCCCTGCACCACTCTATTCGTTGATTTGCTGCTCAAGAAACATTTCTTATCATTATAAATTTTAAAAACAGTTGTTCTGCTTAATATTTTTGTGGAAACAGTGATACTTTTTTTCATTGTAACAATATAAAATGTCTTCACTTTTGATCAATTTAATGCATCCTTGCTGAATATAAGCCAGCAAAAATTGTTTTTATGGCACCACACTAATAAACAACATTCCCAGAAGTCCCTAACCCTCCCCATATAACGCATCACATTTGATTAGATTAGATTTAAAAATAAAACTTTTATCTGTCATTATGTGGCCTTCTGTTTTGCCACGTTGACAAACAGTTGAAGAAATTTCAGTCTTTGCCCAATTATTCCTCATGTAAACAAAAACTGTACTTTCACGCTTACTGCTCACATAGAAACATCTGCCAGAGAATATTTCCAAGATGGCCACCCAGCGAACTGATGTGGATTAAAGGGACAGGACTTTGGTAACGGCTAGTCTAAGCTCTTTGTAATCTCCACATCTCTGCTGCAGTGTATGACATAATTCTCCCAGAGGACAGGGGTGGGGTACAGCTGCAACCCCCATCAGTTTTACCCAGACATCTCTAAACTCCTGCAACCCCCACAGAATCCACAAAATCACATCTAACTGCTGCTTGCTGCCTCCAAACTGAATTTATTTTGCCATCTGATAGTTTTGGCTCTGTTGTGGACTCAAGAGGGATGTGTGTGTAGTATGGGAACTAATATAAAAGTTTCTGTTTGATCCTGAAATTTGTGCAGTTTTCCTCTTAAATAAAAAATACTAATCATAGCACACTTGTGTGGAATAGTTATTACACTGCTGAAACTTAAAAAAGTAAGTGTTTGTAATGCTTTTCAATTTTAAGTTTAGTCAACTCAAATATCCAAGTCACTTTGTACAATTTCACATTTCAAGTTGACTAAACTTAATTTTTTTTTACAGTGTATCAATGGATCTCCATTTGGGGCAGAGAAAGACAAATTTATCAAATTACTTGCCAGAGGAAGTTACAAGTCGGTTAGAGGGGCGTTTGTTTATTTCAACAAACTCTCCATGCACGTCAAATCGGCATGTGTTCTGATATCATTATTGTATGTCTCTCTGCATGTTTGTGTTCATGTGTGCGCCTGGTTTTTGTGTGTTCTTTTTTTTTATTATAGAGCAGGTCAGAGGGTAAAGGGGAATTATGCTCATGAGAGATCTGGTCATGTCTCAGGGATCTAAAAGACACATATCTTTACTTACTTTTCATCACCATGACAACCCAGATGTGCATTTAGTCAGTGATTTCTCAGAATTTCCTTTCCATAGTCTGAAAGTCTGCACAGAGGAGGGAGGTTATCCCTAGTTACATCAAAACACGCATAGAACTTCCGCGACAGGAATGCTTACTAAGTTGTTGAGTCATTTTTTTTTCTTTCTGGAAAACTCCTACAGAAAAAGAAAGTTGCTGATGTTTGTGGGTGGAAGTTCATACACTGTTCTATACCCCTGAGATTTGTGAGTCAGACCAGAATCTGCTAGTGGTTTGTGAATGGGCTATGGTCTGCCCTTTCGTTCATTAACCCTCGTGTTCTGTTTGGACTACCTTCACTGTCTTATGTTTGTGTCCCAGAGACCCCAATAATTAATTAGCAAATATAACTTATAATGCATTTAAACAGACAATTTTAAGCTTTAAACCTCTGTCATATACCTAATGCAATTGTCAATAATGTGTCTGTTATTCAGTTCAGGGCCGTCAGTATGGTGGTGCAACTAGTGCGACTCCTGCTTCGCGAAAGGACAGAGGGGGGCACCCCAATCCCATTCCCCCCAGAGGCCGATCGCGAACGAGGGGGAACTCGCAATTCAACTTTTAATGACTTCTGCAGTCTCAAAATTATTCAGACCCCTGAACAGAATCCCTCACAACAGCACAAATCTGCAAAACAGGTGTTGTGTCAAGCACACATCATGCAACTAATCAAGGGCTTCATTAGTCGCACCAGGCCAGGTGTGCTTGAGCTAGAACTTGAAATATCTGAACTGGCTAGGTTTGTTGAGTGCCACGTTTGACTGCAAGTAGTAATAGGATACAGCACCTGTCAAAAGGATTGATTGACAGGTGGGCGTGTCTATCCTTTGATCTTCCCCCGCCCCTTCCGGCTCCTCCCCTTCCTGTCCCGCCCCCTTGTCCCGCCCCTTCCTGTTCCTCCCCTTCCGGTTACCTTTGACCTAGTTCCGCCCCTTCCTGTTACCTTTGATCTAGTTCCGCCCCTTGCGGTTACAGCTTCTGTCAAAATGACGGATGCTGACAGTTTGTTTAATCGTTTGAAGTTTGTTTGAGATGTATTGGACTTTGTTGTTACAGTTACAAAGCGATGGATTGTTATTTTTTAGCGCATCCCCTCGCTATGCCTAAGCTTATCATAGCAGGTGTGTGTGAAAGTGATAAGAAAAAACTGTTATAGTTTATCTGACACAAACGTAAAAAATAAATGTATTCAGTGAAGCATTTCAGATTAAAATTGTAAACAGTTAAAAATGTATTAGAGTTGAATAATATGAAACATACAGTTTATGTAAAACCTCACCCCAAAAAGTTGAAATAAAATGATCTCCCTCTGCCTCAAAACATAGGGAGCGCGCGTCTGTGTATTTCCCCCTCCCTCCCACTCTCACTCCCACATTGCTTGGGACGCTGGAATTTTATCTGACTAAAGTTGAAAAAGCATTGTGTTAATTTTAAATTATATAAAATATATAAAATAAAATATATAATACAAAATAAATGTCTTACTGAACCAATTGTTTCAAAATAAATAAATAAATACATCTTGAATGTTTTACAGAGTTGGAAGAAAAAATCACACAGGTAGTGCCTGCCAGCATGGACAAGGGTGCGTGACAAATAAGTGATATCATCGCTGTTTTCGTACCACCGGTAATAAATTACTTTTAATTCATAAGACTTATTTTCAGGAGTGACAGTTATCAGTGAAATATGGCGCTCGTGTAATCAAAAGGTCTGCCTAGCCCCTGGGAATGTGAATTGGCCTTGAACCTAAAAACTTACATTCATAGAGTACTGAAAGAATATAGTGGACACACAGCTCCGCCGTTTTCCCATAGTTTTACTGTAAAAGGCGATAAAATAGCCAAGACACATGGACGTGTGCCATACCCCATGTCTGGACCAAAAACTTTTGCACCTTTGACCACCTCATCAAAAATGCAAAACAGTGAGTATTTTCTCTATAATTCATTTATGCTACGCTGTTTTAAACAATGCTATTGCTGTTTATCTGTATTATGCAATGATGTTTAATTTGAAAAATTGTTTATACATAAGGAAAAGACGGTATAATTCATTAGTGTTTTAAATAGCCTAGGCTATGTATTTGTTTTATCCGCATTATGCTATTGGTATTTTTATCTGCTGTAACTGGTGATACAGATATTTTTATCTACTATATTAATTTATCATAAAGTATGATTTTAAAAATGTACAACATTGTTTATGTTCATTATGCTATGGTTTTTTAAACCATATCACAAAAGTATCAGTTTAATATGACTGTTAAGATTAATTTGTAATTAATCTTAATTTTTTATACATTACATTTTAATCTATGTAATGTATAAAATTAATTAAGATTAATTGTATACATTACATAGGCAAAAACTGTTTTAATAGTTTCTCATGTATTACACTTACAATTTGCCGGCACAATGGATTTGGCAGAAGTCATGTTGATCTCAAAGGAGCTTGAACCAGTTATGATCGGCGAAAACACATGGCCATCATCAGATGCAGAGATTTTGCCTGTTTACATAAAATATATGTCAGTTCATCTGTCAATTGTTCATTTTTTTCTTCTTTTTTTTATTGCTGCCATGAATTGAGTTAATTCGTGCCTTTGATAAAATCTGCAGTAAATAAATAAGTTTGATAAGTCTGCAGTAAAATAAATGGCTGATAAAGGCTATAGTAATAGTTACAATTCTGAGTCTGAATAATCCAGGAGCATGACACTAAATAAAATAAATTCATCTGGGCAAATTCTACAAAGCTCGATCCAATAGTACCAAAAACACAAACAAATTCTGTATTGCAAATTTGCACATGACACTGTTAGACAAGAATGTAACCTTCCTTAAAATTGGTCCCAAATAGTTAACTACGACTGATTAATTAAGATTAATTTTATACATTACATAGGCAAAAACTGTTTTAATAGTTTCTCGTGTATTACACTTACAATTTGCCGGCACATTTGATTTGGCAGAAGTCATATTGATCTCAAAGGAGCCAAGAGTTAAACCAGTTATGATCGGCGAAAACACATGGCCATCATCAGATGCAGAGATTTTGCCTGTTTACATAAAATATATGTCAGTTCATCTGTCAATTGTTTATTATACATAGAGTGCAACAGTGCCTCCCCCCTTTTTCATTCTAATTTCCCACAGGGATTTAAAAATATATATATTTATATATAAATATGCAAAATATGCACATATAGCTTATACAAACATTTCAGTATTTTGAGAGGGTAGGGAGATTATGTCATTCGCAGTGCTTCATGGGAGTGGGCAGAGCTATTTTGGAGTGTGTTGCTTTTTTTTTTTTTAACTATGTTTGACATAATTTTCAATACAGCATCATGGCTCATGGGTAATGTAGTTTTCACCAGGAGTTCAACTGTGAAACACGATTATTTACAAAAAAATAAGCTGAAGGCTTTATCAGAAGCAAATACCATGTATTAACAGCCTCTTAGCTCACAGTAGGTCTGTCTTTAAAATTAATTTCCGTATGGAGAAAGTAAATGTTTTTACTTCCAGAAACCGCCTGTTGGACTCTATAATGTTTTCTCATTAAAAATAAAATATAAACCATACTAACATGTTACTTGGATGCCTGATTGTCCTGCAGTGTTTGCTGTGAGAGAGAGAGAGAAGGAAAGACCATGTTATTTTAAATGCCAATGAAAAGCACTAGCCTATATATAGCTTTGACTTGACTTTTATATGTTTTGCTTATCACATTGTGACAGTGTCATTCATATAGCTTACATGTTAAACAATTTATCATGCAAATTGCTAAAAGTTAAAATCAAAGACAGAGTAAAAGAAGAATTAAAAAGTAGCCTACCAAAATTTAAAAAGTAAGTAACTGAAGAGGAATAAAATAGGCCTATGCACATATAAGCATGTCTGACTAAAATAATCTAAATAAGATTTAAAACTGAATAAAATCCAAAACATTTATTTTAAGGTCCTTTATGGAAATCCCACCGCTTAAATACACGATGTTGCAGATTTTAGTTACATCAGATAAAAAAATACAACAGTTAAAACAACATAGCATAATGCAAAATAAACATTGCTGTAAAACAGTCATATTAAACTGATACTTTTGTGATATGGTTTAAAAAACCATAGCATAATGAACATAAACAATGTTGTACATTTTTAAAATCATACTTTATGATAAATTAATATAGTAGATAAAAATATCTGTATCACCAGTTACAGCAGATAAAAATACCAATAGCATAATGCGGATAAAACAAATACATAGCCTAGGCTATTTAAAACACTAATGAATTATACCGTCTTTTCCTTATGTATAAACAATTTTTCAAATTAAACATCATTGCATAATACAGATAAACAGCAATAGCATTGTTTAAAACAGCGTAGCATAAATGAATTATAGAGAAAATACTCACTGTTTTGCATTTTTGATGAGGTGGTCAAAGGTGCAAAAGTTTTTGGTCCAGACATGGGGTATGGCACACGTCCATGTGTCTTGGCTATTTTATCGCCTTTTACAGTAAAACTATGGGAAAACGGCGGAGCTGTGTGTCCACTATATTCTTTCAGTACTCTATGAATGGAAGTGTTTAGGTTCAAGGCCAATTCACATTCCCAGGGGCTAGGCAGACCTTTTGATTACACGAGCGCCATATTTCACTGATAACTGTCACTCCTGAAAATAAGTCTTATGAATTAAAAGTAATTTATTACCTGTGGTACGAAAACAGCGATGATATCACTTATTTGTCACGCACCCTTGTCCATGCTGGCAGGCACTACCTGTGTGATTTTTTCTTCCAACTCTGTAAAACATTCAAGATGTATTTATTTATTTATTTTGAAACAATTGGTTCAGTAAGACATTTATTTTGTATTATATATTTTATTTTATATATTTTATATAATTTAAAATTAACACAATGCTTTTTCAACTTTAGTCAGATAAAATTCCAGCGTCCCAAGCAATGTGGGAGTGAGAGTGGGAGGGAGGGGGAAATACACAGACGCGCGCTCCCTATGTTTTGAGGCAGAGGGAGATCATTTTATTTCAACTTTTTGGGGTGAGGTTTTACATAAACTGTATGTTTCATATTATTCAACTCTAATACATTTTTAACTGTTTACAATTTTAATCGGAAATGCTTCACTGAATACATTTATTTTTTACGTTTGTGTCAGATAAACTATAACAGTTTTTTCTTATCACTTTCACACACACCTGCTATGATAAGCTTAGGCATAGCGAGGGGATGCGCTAAAAAATAACAATCCATCGCTTTGTAACTGTAACAACAAAGTCCAATACATCTCAAACAAACTTCAAACGATTAAACAAACTGTCAGCATCCGTCATTTTGACAGAAGCTGTAACCACAAGGGGCGGAACTAGATCAAAGGTAACAGGAAGGGGCGGAACTAGATCAAAGGTAACAATCCATCGCTTTGTAACTGTAACATTAAAGGCCAATACATCTCAAACTAACTTCAAACGATTAAACAAACTGTCATCATCCATCATTTTTGACAGAAGCTGTAACCACAAGGGGCGGAACTAGATCAAAGGTAACAGGAAGGGGCGGAACTAGGTCAAAGGTAACCGGAAGGGGAGGAACCGGAAGGGGCGGGACAAGGGGCGGGACAGGAAGGGGAGGAGCCGGAAGGGGCGGGGGAAGATCAAAGGATAGACACGCCCGCCTGTCAATCAATCATTTTGACAGGTGCTGTATCCTATTACTACTACTGCATGTTAAAAATATGGCGAAGTCAAAAGAATGGTCCAAAAAGTTAAGAGAAGATATCATCGCCCTTCACAAATAAGGAACAGGATACAAAAAGATAGCGAAGGCACTAAATGTTCCTAGAGACACAGTTGGAAGCATAGTTTGCAAGTTCAAAGTTAAAGGAACAGTGGTTACACTACCTGGACAGGGCAGAAAAAGGAAGCTATCAAAGACTGCAACCAGATTTCTGAGAAGGCAGGTTCAGAAAAACCCTTGAGTGACTGCAAAAGACCTGCAACAAGACTTGGTGGCAACAGGCACTGAGGTTTCAGCTTGCACAGTAATGTGGGTACTAAACGCATGCCATAACTGATATAGCCTATACCACTACTAACCCAAAAGCACAAGAAAATCTGGCTCCAATTTGCTCAAAATCATATTAATAAGCCACAGAGGTTTTAGGATTCTGCTCTGTGGAAAGATGAAACATATGGATCTGCAGTATGTCTAGAGGAAGAAGAATGAAGCATATGCTGAAAAGAGCACTCTGTCTAAAGTTCAGCATGATGGTGGGTAGTGATGCTCTGGGGCTGCTTTGCATCCTCTGGCACTGGAAACATGCAGCATGTGGAAGGCAATATGGATTCATTGAAGTATCAGGAAATCTAAGGAGAAAACGTCATGCCGTCAGTGAGGACCTGAAGCTTGGTCGTCATTGGACCTTACAACAGGACAATGAACCCAAGCATACCTCAAATTCCACCAAGGCTTGGTTGCAAAAGAAGTTCTGGAAGATTCTACAGTGGCCATCACAGTCACCTGACTTGAACCCTGTAGAAAATCTCTGATGGGATTTGAAGAATGTGGTTGCAGCACACAAACCCAAGAATATTACTGAACTAAAGGCCATTGCTCATGAGGAATGGGATAAGATTCCTACGCTGCAGAAGCTGGTGTCTGGTAGTACATCTCGTTTGCAGCAGGTCATAACAGCAAAAGGGTGTTCTACTAAGTACCAAAGATGCTTGCCATGAAGGGGTTGAATAATTTAGAGGCTACAGAAGTCAATGAAATTAGCATTTTCAGTTGAATTTGGGGAAACCACTTGAAACATTTGTTGTCTTGAGCTATTTCAATGACTTTTGTTTGATTTGTTCATTGCAAACAGCTGAAAGTCTGTAAATTTTGGCAATAAACCCGATTGAATAAACCCGATGAATAATTCCGATTACAACTTAAGAAAGCAATCAAATTCAAACTTAAAAAATAAATGAGGATTGCAATGCTGTACGCAGATTGATTAATACAAATTAATACAATTAATACAAAAATATGAATAATAATTACATATTATTAGTACTAAAATGATTTGTAATAGTATTTTTCTTCCGGGAACATTGAGACCTAAACAGAAGTGTATTAGAGCAGTAACAGAATGAAATGTTGTTGATAGTCAGAGTTCATAGGATTAGGAAAAGACAAAAAGTGTCAATGTGATACTTTTGTGTATCAAAAGCATCCGAAATGTTGACTTTGAACAGGCTTCAAATATATTATATATTATTAATTTCTTACAAAAGAAAAGTTGCCCAACACATGGGGTGGAGTGAACAAACCACAAATTCAGTGTTTTGCAACAATGGAAATGTTTTGTGGAAAGAGGAATGGGCGGAGGGGAAAACTGCTCAAATGAGGCCAGGGTGAATCCAACAGAGCCCCTGCTGAGATGATAAAGTGACCCTTTATCCCCGATGAGAGGCACCTTCACCACTGATCCCAATCTCATGCAGACAGCCCTCTTTCACAAAACAATGGCTGGTTATTTTTGTCCTGGCAGATGATCTGATATAGATAGGTCACTTTTACCCAGCACTACACCTACACCTGCTTTCAGCTACACTTAGTCCACCATTCCACCAGAGCTGCAAGCACAGCAAAATGAAGTTTGAGAGGGAGGGAAACCATTTTTGGCTGTGTTCTCTCCTATCCTGTTTAATGAGCCTAAATCATCTGCAGATAAAAGCATGGGAGGCAGTTCTTAGAGTGCATTACTCTGGACCGACAAAGTAATGTTTGTCTATCTAGGCATAAATCACACAATAACACTGATTAAGACTTTTTTCTTTTTTATCCTGGATTAACTTTAATACCTATCACATATACAAGAACATCTTAACCTTATATAGTAATGTGCTAAATGTAAACTGACACATGGTTTAGAGAAAAACATTTTAGGAGAAGCATTTGAGTAAGGCACATTGAACATAGAAGTTGATATTACATACAACAATACATAACGACTCTTTCAAACTGTTATATTTATAATTTAACTCATGCTGACAAAGACAGCTTGCGCTGTGCGTTTTGTGAGTCGCTGGTGCAAACTGATCAATGGCAACTATATATTAAAGCTGTGTTTAAAGCCCTAATAGGTGCGTAAGTACTTGTTTGCTTGAGATTTATGAGTTTTTGGACCTTTAAGGAAAATCTAATCTTGTTAGTTCCTGGCATGTGGTATGGAGAGTTCTTTAATATGTTTTTGTTTCTCAGACGTTTCCCAGAAGAGTACTGCTAGATATTCCTGGGGGTTGATTTTAAAGGATAGCGAGAAAGATGCATTTCAGGAAAACTGGCAAATATTGTAAAAGAAAAACAATGAGATTTTGAAACCGATAACAATAATTCAGTACAGACTCAGGCACACTAAACCCTATAAACTACACAAACCATTGAAATGAAGGATGTGCATGAGTGGAACTATTACTCAGTGCGATAATTCAACCAATGTTATGTCATAGAACAGCGTCTGTGGGCAATTTGAGTGGAAATCCTGAGACATGGATAAACACCTGCACGTCATTCCAGATGGTGCTGCGGATCTGCAGCGCTATGAGAGAATTTCCTTGCACTGGAAAGCCAATAGTTTAGAGTGACAGGCATCAAGAGGAAAATTTGTGGAGTTCTTTATTGCTATAGCACTCTGAATCATCACATTTCCATCTTCAAAAGGATTCGTACACCACCCACTAGGGTTGGAAAGTTGGATGAAGCTCCCAGAAGGAATGTAATTCAAAATGACAAAAACATGGTTTATCTTGTCAATGAATCTCTCTGTGTCATTGTACAATTAGGGAATGACATCATGTTGTCAATTGTTGTGGGTGTGAGATAAATCATAAATCCCAGACTGGGATATAAGGACATCACAAGATGCCAAAAA